CAGTAACTTAAAATTACATTTGGCTTGAGGATTCTTCATTAAAGTAACTTCATAACTGGGAGCAGGGGATTCTGAGAAGGTGGCAACCTAACTTCGGCACCTTTAACTTCGGCACCTTTCTCTTCTACCTTCAGCTTGAATCTATCTTCTCTTCCGTAGCTGCTGGGGCTTTCAAGCATTGGGGTCAAGATCAGACTTGGATTCTATTCTACAATGACATCTGAACATGTCCTCAAAGGCTAGTCTGAGTCACAGGCAGCAATGCAGATGGTACTGTACATTGCCTAGCTGGCCAGTTTGGATCTGTGGATCACCCCACTGGAAGGTTGCCTTGGATTCTGTGTAAATGTTCTGGAGGCCAAAAAGAAACCACTAAACTCATGAAAAACTGTCAGGGATCCATGAGTTTTCTCCCAGATGCCTCACTGGGGGACTGTGGTCTGCTTATTTCTGTTAAATAAGCAGGAGGCCATTAGCCTGAGGTTGTTTCCATGCTTTGAGTTCCTAACTAATGGCAGCCTAACCCAGTATATAAATAAACTGGAACCCAATTTAGGAATGTGACAAATAGCTGAGTTCCAGCCAATCACAGGAGAGAGTTTCAGCAACACGGGCAGCCAACGCATCACCCCATACCCAATAAGGCAAATGCCTCATCACACCAAGCCCAAATAGATGGCTAGTTGTAACTACTCATGTGAGTTCTCTACTTTGCTTCTATATTCAGCCTATAAAAGCTCACTGCTCACACTGCTGGGCAGAGATCTCTGAACATCTGATTCTAAAGTGCTGCCTGATTCATTGATCATTCTTTCTCAAACCGTGCTAAAATCTAAATTGTCTAAAGTTTTTCCTTTAACATTTCTATAGCCCCAGCCCACAGTAGGCAAGACGTCTATCTTCTACCACGCACAGGTCTATGGTCACTAAGGTACTGCGACAGTCTCATAAAAGTGGAAGCATAACTTTCCTAATATGAAAGGAAATGATAGGAACTCATCTGATTTACCATAAAATTAATAATGATGCATAGTAAGTAAGGAAAAACGAATAAAGAACACTTATTCCCTACCTCTCTAGTTTTCCTGTGTAGTCTTCCTTATAATAGCACCAATGATCTCCTACCTCACCCATTACTTCTCCTCATTAGGAGTGTGAAACCTGATTAGAGGTATTAGCAGTCTGCCCAAGTTTCTTGATTGGATAAGACTCATCCATTAAAAGACTATAAGCAGAAGGGAATTGATTCTTTTCTCTTTTTGCCCTAATTCAAAAGGAGCAGCAATCCTTGGTAAACGTGTGTATTCTGGAGACTCACATGTTACGTTGGATGAGCGATCTTACAATTGGGGACCAAGAAGCAGAACAGTCCTACTTGAGTCTATTTTTCTCTCAAAACTAAGCCATGCTGTCAAACAGCTTAAACTCTGTTATGATTGCCATCAATCTACCTGCTACATCTATCTATCAGTTGCCTTCAAATTTGAGTGGGGAAGATAGGCATTATTTTCTTAAGCCTCCTCAGACTCTCTGTTAGGGTTCTTCAGAGGAACAGAACTGATAGAATATATGTAGTTATAAGAGTGGATTTTTTGGATTCACTTACATGATCAGAGGCTGAGTAGTCCCCCAGTAACCCTCTGCAGGCTGGAGAGCCAGGGAAACCCACTAGCAGCTCAGTCCAAGAAGCTGGGAGCCTCAGCACAAAATGGGCCAATAAGGCAGCCCCAGTCAGAATGATGGTCTGGAAAGCCCTTTGAAGAGATATTGGAGCAAATCTGCCACTGAGCAAATCTGTATTCAAAGGCTAAAAAATCTAACTTTGATGTCTATGGATGATAGCAGCAGGAAAAAAAAAAATGCACCCACTCAAGAAAGTTCAAGCTCAGTTGCATAATTGAACTTTCTTCTTCCACATTTTCATTCTGTCTGGACCTCCAACCTACTGGACAATGCCACCTGCATATAGGGCCAGTTTTCCCCACTCAGTTTGCTGACCCACATGCCAGTCTTCTCTGGAAACACCCTCACAGATACACACTGACAAATGCTTTACTACTTTTCTAGGTATTCCTCAAATTTAGTCAAGCTGACAACCAAAATGAGCCATCACAAATCCCAATACATTTCTTTCAATGTACTTTCTCTGATTCTATCACATAGCATTTAAGATTTTAAAAATCAATGCTGCCAGGATTGGGAAAGACTCATAGGGCAGATCTGTATTTTAGAACCTTTGGATTCTTTGCACCTGGCACAGGTACAGGCCCAGAATGAATGTGGATTGGTGGCAGGGGAAACTGCTACAGCAACTCAAACTGTTTGCAAGTCATCAATCTTGCCTTGCTTTCTGAGCCACACTCTCATGGAACTCAGATTCTAGTGCCCTGGCCCATCTTCACCCATTTCCATGCCTGCTCCAGCTTGGTTCAGTCTAAATCCCTACTTGTTCCTGCATGAATAATGGACATTTAGCAAGTGTTATCTACTCACAAAGAACACTTTCTATGAGAACATCACATAGTTAAAATTTGATATGACATTTTACTATCTTTGTCAAATTATATGCAGCACATCTGGAAATTTTTCTTCCAGTTGAATTAAGTAATTGGTCCTTGGCATAAGCAAATCAAATCTATACCTGAGCATAATAAAATTTATTAAACTTTAGTTGGAGTGCACAGCCAGATAGTCACATCAAAAATTCTTTTTGATAAGTTTGATCCAGCAAAATCTCTCAATTCCAGCACTTTTATTAATGTAAATGTCCTAGTTAACATTAACACACCTGGCTTTACTATGAATATGATAACAAGGCAATGGATTTCTCTTGACTTAACTCTTCTTTTTCCTTGTCTCTACCCCCCCCCACACACACACACTCACACTCTATAGCTTTTAATTGAACTCTGCAGCCTCTGTATTTAGAAATCATAGGAAAAATGATTTTGCCTTTTCCTGGAGCAGAGAGCTTCTTCTCAGCAGTGTCCCTGAAGCCTTGGCTAGAATACCTCTGGAATGGAGCAGGCACTGTTTTCAAAGCAGCCTGTGCTACTTTCAGGCCTCACTAAAAGACACCAGACAGGAATCGGGTGATACAATCAAATGGATAATTTGAGAATAATTTAATAAGAGGCTATTGTGAGGGTTCCTGTCGTCCCCCAGCCCTAGTCATCTCGTAGCCTATGGGCTGAAAGGAAGTAGGGATTCACAGAATCCAAATAGAGCAGGATGTGATGCCAGCCCATGGTAACGCCTTGGGAAGGAAGCTTAGCTAATAATTCCTGAACCCTAATTTCCTCTTGCCCTCTTAAGCCTGTGGTGTATCTCATTGGCTAAAAGCAACCAAAAGTTGGGATTTACAGTGAGGCAAGAAAGGGCACAAATTGTAAGAAGGTGCTTAGCAACAACAAGGTCAAGCCTGCAAGTAAATGCCCCCTTCTGTGTCTAGGTGCCTCTCCTGCCTCATTTTAGTCCCAACCCTGGGTTAAGTGAGTCCAGTGAAGTGATTCATATAAATTAATTCTGTTCTCCCTAGCATGACAAATCGATTTGAAGGTGAACCGGAAGATATTGAGCACAAACTGTCAGGAAGTTCTCATTGTCA